ACACACTGTGAAGATTTCCTTACTCTGTTAAACATAAAAAATAATAAGAAAAGAAAAGAAATCATAGCGGGGCTGATAAGTCTGACTTCAACTGTAGGCCTTTAAAGTTTACAGGTGCAACAATGTGATTTGATGTACTTGAATGGTAGAAATGTGTTCTCCTACACCTGTGTAACGTTACTTGTCAAATAAATGAGTTATTTATTTTATTTTGAGTTTAAGTTATTTAATTATCTTGTTTATGACGACTTTAGAGGGATGCATGAAAACAAATGACTTCGAATAATGTTTTAAGTATTTTGTGATATATATGTTAAAATGTGCTCCTAAAAGTACATGGCCCCTGCCCGCTCCCCACAGGTTAATAGTAAGCTAATGTAATTTCATAATACAAATCTTAAATTCATGCTAACCAACAAATGATCAAAGGCAATTTTTTAAAATAGTTTGTCAAATAAAATATTTTTCTAGAGTCATCCACCATAATTTTGTGGCACCGGTATCGTTTTAAAAGTATCGAAAAAAACCCAAACGATACCCAACCCTACAACCCATCCCTGGGAAACATTCATACACACTTATACACTACGGACAATTTAGCCAACTTAATTCACCTGTACCGCATGTCTTTGGACTGTAGGGGAAAGAGCACCTGGAGAAAACCCAAACGCAGGGAGAACATGCAATGTTAATTATTTAAAGATCCATGTTAATTATTAATTAAGGAATGCCCAAATAATGTAGCCTAGTTTACGGAAAGCATTATGTTTTTTGTAAGATTGGATCTGTATCGGTCGATACTCAGAATTTCGGGATTGGGATAGGATTGGCTAAAAAAAATAGTATTGGTGCATCCTTAGCTCAAACCACTAAAAGCGATGCTTTTGCATAAAAGCGAAAGCAGTGTTTTCCAAGTGTGTGTAGGAACAGCTAATTTGAGCCATAGCAATCACAAAAGGCAGGGGAAAGTATTTAGCTCAGTAAAGTAAGCGGAACGTGTTGCGTTTTCCACATGGTTTTAGATGTGATATGTTAATAGCCTATAAAGAGTTTTCAAGAAAAAAAAAAAAAAACAGTAAAAGCCATGCAGAGCTGTGTTACACACCAGATAAAAGGTGATTAAAAAAAACCCTAATAGGGACACTTTAAGGGTTAAATGCGTTATGAAAATGAAGTTATGCTTACACTGTTACATTCATCAGACAAAATTGCTATTGTAAATACCTGTGCAATCTCTTTGATCCTGTAGCTAACTTCTTCACTGAGGGTCAGACAGCTGTCTTCCTGCAGTGAGCCTATACCCACCGACTCAGCCATTGCCTTCATGGAATCAGTGGGCAGGATCACAGAACACAGCTTCTGTCTGCGTTCCTCTGCCATTTCTCACTCTGTAGGAGGAAAATATCAGATATTTAGGATGTAAAGAGAACGTAATAATTATTGCTATAAATAATGACACACATAAAAATATGTATATGACAATTCCATAAAAATGTCAACCTTATCATAAAAACAATAACTTTTTACCAAAATAACAAAACCAATCTAAATTTGCTCATTAAGGTCTATATTTTATTGTCATGATATGCCCTTGTAGAATTTTTAAGGAAATTTCTTTGTTTATCCATGAAATATGAGGATTGTGCCAATAGTAAATTTCATTTTCATCCAACCACATTTCATGCTTTAAAAAAAGTGGTTAAAGGTTCCATGTTTTAATTAAAAGGCTTCTACACACCAGGACGCTTTTCGTTTGCGTATATCGTCAGCGTTTTACGAGACGTTTTTCCATATTCAAACCCAGGCAGTTTTCATTGGCGTCAAGCAGAAGAGTATGCAAAATCACTCCTTGATGTTAGATGGTGCTATACAACTCTAAGCTTCTGACACCAGCTTATAACACAGAAGAAGAGGAGGAGAGGAAGTTCACACGCTTGTTGTTAAAGTTACCGGTGACTCGAACAATTACTGATTATTGTTCACCAGTGTAATAAGCAACTTCACGTTCATATCGGCTCTGGGCATCTTCTTCAATGTGCGCTCGCATTGACAGTTTTGCGCTTGAGCGCCTCCAAGTGCTGTTTACTGTAACTTCAGTAGCTCCGTGCACGTGAACAAAAGTGCCGATCTAATTGGTGGAGAAGGTTTTGATGCGGCACGTCAAAAAAAAAAAAAAAAAACGAGCATGAGGCGTTTTTTAAAATGATGCTTTTGCGCCAGCCGTTTTGCGTGTTGGTGTGCACGATCAAATTTGACTCTCTTAGACGAGATGTTAAACGTCGATGGAAAACCCTAGGAAAAATACATTACGGTGTGCACGGGCCTTAAACATAGGCATACTGCAGAAGGATTGGGTTTTGTAGAATAAATAATTACCTTAATTTTTTCATAACATCACTGCCTTTTTAATTTGAGCTACATATTTAAGACATCACGCAGCTTTGATAATGTCTCACGTCTGTAACTATTGAATTTAAAAGTTTATATTGTGTAATAAGTATGACAAATAAAATGAAATAGATCAATGCTAATTACGATGGACAATTCATCTCAGGTCTTTGCTCTAAACAAATACAATTTTGCATTATGGACTAGGGTTGTGACAATTGACGATGCCATCATCCATCGCTGATGGCCAACAAGCTTCACAATGCTGAACCGGCATCGCGATCCATCGGCCATTTATAATGATATATAACTTTTTATTTGCATGTCATCTTAATAGCAATAACGGTCTTTTCATGAGCTGTGTTAAATGTTACATATAGCTGCCACTTGCATGGCTGACAGCATTGTGAGGATTAAATGAAAAATTATACAGAACCTATCACACTTAAAATGTGTAGATTTAGTGACCAACGCAGTTAACTGCAAACCCCGTCCCACAGAATTTACAGTAAATGGCTTTTGTCATTTTTATAGTGGACTTAAAACACTGGAAGTCTTTTATCCACTCTTGAAAAAGTGTAAATGGTGCATTAACATTCAGCAGATGATCACTAATAAGATGTGTCATTATTAGTAACTGTAGGTAAATCTGTCAGTGTTATTTTCATTCTCTCATCTTCAGCACTTCACAGTTTCACGGTTGTAGCCCCTGTCATCTGAAAGCAGAAGGCATTGACTGAGTGATTGACAGCTGATATTAATCATTTGCGTTTAGTTCTAAAGCAGTAAGCCAATAAGAAGAGCATAAAGGCGGGGCAAGCATTGCAGGATTTTTTTTACTTCAGGAAGTTCACATAATACCTGTTTTAATCTGTTCCTGAGTGCTGCACGTTTGTTTAAGTGCAAAGATGCATTCTGCATAAATGTCACCTAAATCCACACACGCGTGGAGGATTTTGGCATAAAAACAATGAAAATGTATGCACTACAGTGAACTCCAACTGAACTCTCGTCTCCTCCACCAGCTGTTGGAAAAGGCATTAGAACTCGGAAAAAAGTGATTGACAGGTGGTTAGTTGTTTGTAACTTTTATTCATGGTTTGGTTTGGTTACGGGTAAAGCAAAGACTATGTGGGTCAGTTAGTGAAAACGGTAGGCAACAATTAATTAATTCGTTATGAATCAATTGATATTTACCATTAGACATCGTACGATGCCAAATTGGTCAACATTGCCCAAA